CGGGACGCCCTCGTCTCTTGCAGAGCAGTTGTTCGACTACCTGGTTGTTATTGACTTTGAGTCGACGTGTTGGGAAGACGGGAAACGCCACCGGACCCAGGAAATCAGTGAGTGACGTGCCGCCGGCCCAGCCGGCCTTCAGTGTCACTGTGCAGCGCACAGATGTCAGCAGATAGAAAACAAGATGGCCCGGGAATTAGTCGTTTACTGTAAAACCCGACTCACCAAAGAGAGGGAGCAAACCCGAGTGCCTGACCGTGACCGCACAGGAAACGCGTGTTTAGTGGGGGAGGGTACCGAGGGCGAAGGACAGGCCGGGGTTGGGTGGTGAACATGCCACACAGACAGTGTCCGATAGGATTGTATATCTGAACCTGTATACTTCTATTAACCAATACATTTTTAAAAATTAAATAAGTGTTTTAGGATTGCATTCAAAATCTAAATTGCATAGAAACTGAAAAATACCTTTGCAAAAAAGAGTAAATCCATTTTTGCTTCCATATGGATTTTAATGGTGAAAATATATTTGAATTTTATTTTATTATTATTATTTTTTTAATATATTTTATTGATTTTTTTACAGAGAGGAAAGAAGAGGGATAGAGAGTTAGAAACATCGATGAGAGAGAAACATCGATCAGCTGCCTCCTGCACACCTCCTACTGGGGATGTGCCTGCAACCAAGGTACATGCCCTCGACTGGAATCGAACCTGGGACCTTTCAGTCCGCAGGCCGATGCTCTATCCACTGAGCCAAACCGGTCAGGGCTATATTTGAATTTTAAGTAGATATATTCAACTTTAATATTTTGACATTCTTTGGCATAACTTTAATTATAACCATTACATCACACTGCTTTGGTCATTTTAATATGTTTTTACTGAAACACTGATTAAGTGTCAATTGATGATTCTTTCACGTAGTTGAATTTCCAGCGGTATTGCTGAACACATCAACTGGAGAGATTGAATCTGAGTTCCATGCTTATGTTCAGCCTCAGGAACATCCAATTCTTTCTGAATTTTGCATGGAATTGACAGGCATAAAGCAGGTATGCCCTTCCTTCCTTCTCTTCTCACTGCCCCAGCCCCCAAACAATAAACAAGCAGGTATGATGCAAATACTAAAATTCAGAAGTCAATTTCAAAAAATAAAAGCTATATACCATTTGGAGCTAGGTTTATTCAGTGTTAGAAGAAATAATGTCCCCTCCAGAAGTCCATTAGAATCTTTAAAAATTAGAAAGAATAGTGTGGTAAAAATGAATATCAAATCTATTTTATGGAAATTAAATACATCAAATTTCTGGTGGTCTGGATTATTTTTCTGTGTGATTTTAGATTGGTAACCTAATTTTTCTTACTTTATAGAGTTCTAATCATTGAATTATCTCTTTCTCATGTGTTACAACATCTTTTCACCAGGTAAATTCTTTGTCAGTATTTTATGCTTTCTTGGTGCACCCCCTAGTGGTCTTTGTGCGCAGTCTTGTTCTAGTTGAGCCTTGATTGTTGTAGTTAATACTAGCGGGATTTGACCACCAGGCCGACTGGCTGTCGAACCTCTTCTTTGTTAGGTACCTACGGGGCCTAATTACCAGCTGTGTGGCCAATAATTATGAAATTTGATTGTTGAATTCAGACTTTGTGACTCTGTTCAGGCCCAAGTTGACGAAGGGGTCCCTCTGAAGATTTGCTTATCTCAGTTCTGTAAATGGATTCAGAAGATTCAACAACAGAAGAAAATTATCTTTGCTACTGGGGTTTCAGATCTACCTACTTCAGAAGTCAAGTTGTGTGCATTTGTTACTTGGTCAGGTAAAGAAGTTTGTAGCATCACTCTTATGTAATATGTAATTATCTCTAGTAAGAATTATACTTGTTAACCTTCTGGACTAGGAAAAGAAATCCAAGTGCCCAACAGAAAAGTAAATTTATTCATATTTTTAAATTACCATTCTGGGATGCCTGCAAACTTTAAGCCTTAACTTTAAGAATCTTTCTTGATTGTTCGCTTTGTTCTTCTGAATCCAGGTAAAGATTAGTGAAAACTCTTATCATGCTATTTTATACAATCTTGAATAAAAAGAGTCCATGTTCAACTCATACCCTTTGCTTTTATTTCACACTTACTAATGCAGCCATCAAGGAAGAAACAGGCCATTTAAAGTAGATCTTTTGTATGCCTGTGATACAGCATTGCCATTAATAGTAATGATAGCAACGCTGTGTCATTGCTGCTTAGCATTATTAGTAAGTATACTTGGTTTCTGTTGCTATGTTTAATTTCTCAATTACATGAATATTCTCTTAGAATGTTAAAAGCAGATAACCTTCTCCATATAGGCCTTATTACTTCACATCTTATTCTTTCTGAAATATTCAGTATGTCTTATTGGATCTTTAATAAATCATTTTGAAGCTTAGTTACCAATCTAATTTCTTAACAATAAGTTATGTAAAGTGAATAATTGTTAGATATTAACTATGTATATGTATATGTATATGTATATGTATATGTATATGTATATATGTATATGTATGTATGTATATGTATGTATTATAGTATATGTATATATATATATATATATATATAGTATTACATATTGTATGATTCTAAATCTTACTATTTTATATCATTTTTCAGCACTTTATTTATAAATGATGATAGCATAAAAACGTCTGGCATCATTGCTTTGTTCTATTTTAATATACTTAATGCAGACTGGGACTTGGGTGTTTGCCTGGAGTATGAGTGTAAAAGAAAGCAGCTGTTTAAACCTGTGTTCTTAAATGCTTGGATTGATCTCAGAGTAACTTACAAGGTAAGGGTCAAAGGTGGGGGCATGTTCACTTTCCTTTTATTGAAAAATGATTAAACTTTATTCCACACATAGGTATGGATTTCTACAAATAAAATATTTTCTTTTGAAACATTCACATAAATACAATCCTTATAGCATGTAAAGACAACGTAACAGCCAAGACCGGTTTGGCTCAGTGGATAGAGCGTCGGCCTGCGGACTGAAAGGTCCCAGGTTCGATTCCGGTCAAGGGCATGTACCTTGGTTGCGGGCACATCCCCAGTGGGAGGTGTGCAGGAGGCAGCTGATCGATGTTTCTCTCTCATCGATGTTTCTGACTCTCTATCTCTCTCCCTTCCTCTCTATAAAAAATCAATAAAAATATATTAAAAAAAAAAAAAGACAACGTAACAAAAATAAGCAATTCAAATCTAGAACTAAAAATTATGAAGAATTGTTCATACATAGTCTTCCAAATAGTAATCATTTTCTTAAACATGTCTTCATTTATTTATTAGATTTTCTATAGGAGAAAACCAAAAGGACTGAGTGGCGCCCTGCAGGAGGTGGGAATCGAATTCTTGGGACGGGAACATTCTGGTTAGTATAATTTATTATGTAAGTAATTTTATTTTTTATAAAGTGTTTTATGTGAATCTCATTTTTTGTGATGTCATTAATAAGGAATATACTTCAGCCTAGAAAAAGCTCCTTCTAATCTATACAATTTAAATTATTTCTAAGACTCAAATGACATTTGTGTGTAAGATAAAGATTGCCATCTAATGGCTGTCCAGTTGCTAAAAAAGAATGAAAAAAATTAGCCAATCAAATGGAATTAAACAAATGCCCAAATAATACAGTGGACTAGTGAAAAACTAAGCGAAACTCACAAAACATGGCGCCTCAGAATCTTGGTCACATTTTTGTGACCTAACAGATTTTCACCTCTTCCTCTGTAAATGTGGGAGACTTTGTCCTTCATTGGTAAGGCTGCCGCAGCTATCCACAGACCAACTTATCATGGTTAAAACTAGTAAGTGGTCATAAAACTAACAGTTCCAATTTCCATTTCAGTGGTGGGTTTTTTGTTGTTGCTGTATTTCTTTTTGTGGTACTACTAAAGATAGTGCTTGATATTTATTTCCTCAGGATTGGATGATTCTCGGAATACTGCACTTCTTGCTTGGAAAATGATCAGGGATGGTTGCTTAATGAAAGTTACAAGGTCCTGGAACAAGGTCAGTGGCGTCTTACTCCTTTATTCTGTCATCTCAAATTTCAGAAGTAATTGTAGGTTCATTGAAATGTAGATGTCATGAGTGTAATCATTTATGTCAATCGATGGTGTTTTTCTCTTTTTGTCATATCATATAATGTGTACTAAAGAAATTCTGAATGCACAGTTGCTGAAGCTATTGGATTTGCTTGTGGAATTATAGGTTCCCACTAAGAAGAATCCCAACATTTTGGGCAGAAATTTGAATACCAATCAAGTTGAAGAAACATCAGTCTGCAACAGAAGCAGTCGGGGTCCCAGCATATGTGATAGGGAGCCTAAAAATACAATACATTATCATGAAAAAGTGCAAATGAGGTCTGATGGTATGAATTCTATAAAAGTAAACCAAGATGAGTTACAACCAAAGAGCAATTTAAAAGTAGGTCTTCGCAATGTCAAAAACTGTTTCTCTCTCTTGACTACTCAGTCTTCTACTTCTCTGGGGCAGCTGCAGTGCCCCGGCGTCTGTGCACCTATGCAGAAGCAAATCAAAGACGAACATCAAGCATTTCGTGCCAAATCTAAGGCTTCCACAGCGGATTCTGATTTGGTGCTTGTTTCAACTACCATTTCATCTGTTAATCATGTTTCTGATGTGGAGATGAGTTCTGCTCTCGACTGTTTGCCTATGTTGACTGATTGGGAGGATGTAGCTTTACTGCCAGCATCTCAGCCTGAGCAAAATATAGATGATATGCCGCTCATTAGTGACTCAGACTTAGCTACTTCATTGAAGTCTGGAGAAAGGTTAATGGTTCTAAAAGAATCTGAATTGTTAAGTTATGAGAACTTTGAAAGCACAGAAGAAACTCCTCAACAATCTGAGACCTCTAAGTTGGTTGTGTATAAGAGTCCACATACTACTATTTATAATGTAAAAGAAGCCAAAGATCCAAGGTCAGATGTTTCTAACTTTAAATTACCTGAGTGCAAATCAAGCAGTTTGAACAGTGTTAAGGCCAGTGTGTCTTATCCTTCAGTTCTGGGGAAATGTCTTCTTTTAGGTGGTACTAAAAGGAACCCACCCAGTCCCCCAGCTGTCCCCCTAGCAAAAAAGCAGCCCTTCACTATTCATGAAGAAAAGCCGACATCATGTGATGGCTCCCCAGTGAGGTCTCGGAAGCTCCTCTCCTCTGTCTTCACTCCTACAGTTAACCTACGAGAGCCTTGGAAGAGTGGGAAGGTGACACCTCCATTATGCAGGTGTGGCCGGAGGTCTAAGAGACTTGTTGTTTCTAATAATGGACCAAACCATGGGAAAGTCTTCTACTGTTGCCCTATTGGGAAATACCAAGAAAACAGAAAATGTTGTGGTTATTTCAAATGGGAACAAACACTTCAAAAGGAGAGGGCCAACAGCACAATTTGGTCTCATTCCTCAGGGGCACTCACCTCTAGTTCTCCAGAAATAAGCCATGTTTGTGACCAAAAGGTAAATGTTTCTACTAAAAATGCTTTGAGACTCAGACCTTCAATGAGGAATTGATGAACTTTATATCTAAACTATGTTTTTACTTTAGTATGACGTTTGATGTAAAGAGAAAAGCATATAGGGCTGCAAGTTAGGAGAACAGCATTATCTGAGCTCTGTCCACTGCACTTGGACTATTACACACACACACACTGAAAATAGAGAAACAAATTTCACAGGTTTCTAATTTCAGTCACCAGCCATCTAACTTTTGTCTTTTGTTCATGTATGAATCCTGATTGTTCCTTGAATTCCCAAACATGAGTAATCTTAAAATGCCTAACACTATTTTATTTATATTTCATATATTGGCATTTGCCAAATTTATCATACTTTGAAGAACCACAAGTGAAATATTTTATAAACTGCATTTATTAAATACTAGAGGCCCGGTGCATGAAATTTGTGCACAGGTAGGGTCCCTAGACCTGGCCGGTGGTCAGGGCCCATCAGGTTCCCAGCCTCCCTGCCTCCTCCTTCCCTCGCTCCCTCAGTGCCCCTCCGCTGACACTGATCACCTGCCATGTTCTGCGCCACCCCCTGCTGGTCAGTGCACGTCATAGTGAGTGATCAAACTCCTGGTCGAACTCTCGAGGGGACAATTTGCTTATTAGCCTTTTATTATCTACTAGAGGCCCGGTGAATGAAATCCGTGCATGTGTGTGTGGTGGGGTGTCTCTTAGCCTGGCCTGCACCCTCTCCAATCTGGGACCCCCTCGGGGGATGTCTGACTGCCAGTTTAGGCCCGATCCCTCTCGCAATCTGGAACTGCTGGCTCCTAACCGCTCGCCTGCCTGATTGCCCTTAACACGCCTGCCTGCCTGATCACCCCTAAACCCTCTGCCTGCCGGCCTGGTTGCCCCTGCCAGCCTGATTGCCCCTACCTTGCCCCCCTGCTGGCCTGATTGCCCCTAACTGCCTCTGCCTCGGCTCCCAGTCTGGCCTCACTCTTCGGGAGGTGACCTGGCGGATCAGGGGAAGTCACCCCCATCACCCCACTGCTGCTGCCACTGCTGGCCTGAGCCTCGGCCCTTGCAGCTGCCATGGCTTTGTCTGGAAGGACGTCCGGAAGATGTCCACTCTAATTAGCATATTACCCTTTTATTAGTATAGATTTGAGGACCATTACAAACATGCAGAACTTAAAGAAAACACATGGGCCCTGGCTGGTTTGGCTTAATGGAGAGAGCATTGGCCTGTGGACAGAAGGGTCCTATGTTTGATTCTGGTCAGGGGCACATGCCTGGGTTGCAGGCTCGATCCCCAGTAGGGGGCCTGCAGGAGGCAGCTGATCAGTTATTCCTATCATTGATGTTTCTATCTCTCCCTCTCCCTTTCTCTCTGAAATAAAAAAAAAATTTTTTTTAAAAAAACACATGATCTTCACTTTGGGCTTTTCATTTTACAGATCCTTTGTGCAGTATTTTAACTTCCCTCAACTTTCCTTTACCCACCCTTAAAATGCAGTCTATTTTGGGGAAGACGATCAGGAAAGTGATTCTAGTGGGTGTAAGGTTTTTTTGGAGGGGATAGGGTCATGAAAATATTTAAAAATTGAGCATGGTGATGGTTGTACCACTCTGAATTTACTTTAAAAAAACGACTCAGTATATGAGTTATATCTCAACAAAGCTGTTCTTTTATTTCTTTTTAAATAAAGACCAGTCTTATAATCAATTGCAGATGTTTTCAGAGGCCCCCCGCGATTTGCTTACTGCGTCCCAAACCACGGCTGCGACTCCCAGTTGCCTCCAGTCCTGGTGGATCTGGATGGTGTGGTTTGCAAAGGAGAAGGTGGCAAGAGGCTTGTGGAATTTCTGCAACCCCATTCCCGCGGTCTCATAGGGCACCAGGGCCATTTCCACTGTGCCAGCTCTCTGCTTTCTTTAACCTGTTGGGCAAAAGAATCCTGCATGCTCTGGCCAGAAAGTGCATTCTCTCTTAGGTGGCCCAAATGCTTTTTTTTAAAGGTCGTTTTATGGATTCAAAAGAATAAATAGATGTGGAAAGTTTTTGTCGAATTCCTTTTACATGGTTCTTCCAGTCTCCTGGGAAGTGAGATGTGGCTCTGAATTCATCACAAAGGGTGTCTTTGGGCAAAAGCACCCAGAACGGTACAACTCCTGCAGGATGCCCTACACACTTCACTGTCAGGACTCGGGGGCTGGAGGGTGAGCGAGGCGGCGATGCCAGCACAGGACCCGGGAGAAGGTAGTGCTTTCTACACTGCCCAGGCCCGCGTGGACTGCAGCTGCACCTGCCGAGGTGGGCAGGGTGTTTCTGCTGTTTTGTTTTGGTCTGGCCTCCACCCATCAGCCACAGGCCTGTGCCTGCACTGAGACTGAACGGTTCAATGGTCATACTTTTTGGTGGACGGTGGATGGTGGACTCACTCTCACCTCCCGGAGACTGGCAGTTAGACACTGGCAGCTTCCAAGTCGCTTGCAGGGAGAGTGCAGCCCTAGGTCCAGAACAGACTCTGGCGTCCTCGGCTAGGAGGGGGGCCGCCAGCAGTTTGAAGGCCGGCCACACCCCATGATCATGGTGGGGGTCCCCTCATGGTGACCGTTCTTCCCGTTCCCTCAGCTCCCTAGCCTGTTGTTCGGTCATCCATCCGGTCGTTTTGGTCATTACGGCCCCTGCCCCTGGCTTTTTATATATTAGGATATATATAAAACCCTAATATGCAAATAGACCAAACAGTGGAACAACCAACCAGTCGATATGACATGTGCTGACCACCAGGGGGGTCATGGTGGAACATGGTGGCTGTAGGTGGCTGTAGGCAGAAGGCGGCAGAGCACGGAACGTGCGGGCATTGGCTGTGGTGGGATGGTGAAGCAGGTGAGTGGGGGTGCCAGACCAAAGCGGGGGCACTGGTCACTGTCATCGGGGAGAGCCTCTGGTGGTTACTGAAAATTCTGGGCTCCAACGCACCGTGGTCCCACCAGGTGCTCGCACCTGCTGCCGGCGCCAGCCCCCCCCTCGCACTGCTGCCAGCATCGGAGCCACCACTCACACCTGCTGATAGTGCCGTCAGTGGGTGCAAGCGGCGGCTGCCAGCCCCGGTCGCCTCTCAGTCCTTCTCCCCCTCCTGCTCCTG